TCGAGCTCAGGGACATCGGTTATGTAGAGGTGAATGGCCTCTCCAGCTCGCGCGACATCGAGCCTTTCGTCTCACAGTTCTTGATGGGAAGCTGGAAGTGTCAAGACTACAAGCCCCAATTTTACGAGCAGACGAAATTCTGCGATCGCAAGTTTGTTACGCCACAGAATCTCTACTACAAGCAGGGCTTGACGAACAACATCGGCAAGCTGACCATCGAACTGTCTATCGCCCTAGCTTCACAAGGATGGATGCTCATGCTATGTAACGGTGGCCACATCTCCAGCATCAAGGACCCTGCCTCCTGCAACTCCATGGCGCCTCTTCCAATGCACAAAAAGATGGCCGACTGTGAACTCATTGGCGGCATTAAGCGGGAGCAACAGATCAAGTTCACTCGAGCGCCGGACCGCGCGATTGCGGCCGAGCCCCTGCTGATGATCGAGCTGCGATCCGTTCCCAGACGTCCACCCGAGATCATCAACACTATGAATCTGGAATACATAGATCCCTTCAAGGAGAACGAGACCAGGAAGAGGCAGACAGCGGTCGCACTGCGTGACTGGATTGTCTCGGCAGACTACGAGGGCTTTGTTGAGGTGAATGGTTTCAACACTAATGGCGTTTATCAGAAGCTGCAAGAGTTCATCGAGCGATTCCTTAAGGGAAGAATGCTGGGGCCACAGCCCTACTGCGACTGCCTTTTCTCTTGTCAGGCTTTCCGTCAGAAGATGTCTCCCCATGGCGAGTACTGGGATGGCTTCTACTGTGGTGAGAACAACTTCGGGAAGTACACCATGCGTTTGATTGATTTTTTGGTAGACCACCTTGGCGAATGGGACCTCATCGCCTGTAACGGAAATGCAGCCGAGCGCGCGTGGAGCTGGAGTGGCCTTGTGTCCATGGTGGCCCGTGAGCAACAGCTCGTTTTCCGCCACCGTCCCAAAGCCGGACGGGTGTTCATGGCCACCGCGCATCACACGCCCTTGGGCCGCCCACCGATGCAGGCGCCGGAGTACTGGACCACCGAGTCACGCGAGGGAACTGAAGCCTCTAAGGTCGTGCCTGCTACAGAGGAGGAGAGGGAATGGCTGCAGCAGCTCCTGGATGGAAGCTACGTGAAAAAGGTTACTCGTGATCGCAGAGGTGGTCGACTGGCAGAGCGCTTCGAGCTTGTCGCTGCAGTTCGATCCGAAAATCCCCACCTATGGGATGCGTTTGCAAACCGACGGCACAAGGTCGGCCTCACTCGTGATGGCCTACACACAGATCACAGAGGACAGGACGTGGTCCCCAAAACAACCCTCGCTTGCCCGGCACTGGCGGGGCACTGTGTTGACGAGGACGGGAAGAATCCATCGACAGAAGGGATCTTTCTTCACGGCACGAACCCGACATCGGCCGTGGCGATCCTGAAGAACAACTTCAAGATTGATCTAGCTGGTGCAAGTGCAGGAACGATGTTTGGACCAGGGGCATATCTCGCCGAAGCATCGACCAAAGCGGACGAGTACGCGCAAGATGACAAGGCCGGCAGCTACAAAGGCCTCTATGCGATGGTCGCCTGCCGTGCAGTGATGGGAAGACCCTTCGTCGAGAAGAACACCGGCAATTACTCAAAGAAGGTGACCTCAGGCGCATTTGATGTTGTTCTTGGTGATCGCGAGGCGGCAGTGGGGACTTTCCGGGAGTTCATCTTCTTTCACGAGGAGTCGATATATCCGGAATATGCGCTGTTTTACCGGAGAGTCCACGGCGGAGAGGCGTCGGAGACGGTGCTGGAAGACGTGGATTGCGAGCCCAGAGATGTGGAGCCCGGTGTGCCCGAAGCCATCCCAGGCTGCGAGGGTCAGCTCCAATGCCTCGTTCCGCTGGATGCTGTACCCGGTGACACACTCAAGGTACGCAAGCCGGGTGGTGATCAAGTCATCGAGATACCCCTCGGTGAGTCTGTCCGGCCAGGGAGTATTCTCGCCTTCCAGGTGAAACCTTGAGGGCCGCAACTTGCGATCGGAAGACTTGACGGAGAAAAGCTTACCCGACCAAAAGGCCTTCCATTGCTTGCGTTTCGGATTGCAACTCTTCGACGCTTCTTCGGTGTCAGGTGGCGCAAGAAGACCAGGCCCCTTTGTGCGGATGTGTGCTAGTCACTAGTCAGACTTTCGAAAACTGCGATTTGAGGGTCTGAGGTTGAAAGAATGTCGGGTTCAGGGCTTTGCACGAGTCATCGGATCTTTAATTGAGCATTTGATGTTTTTCTGCTTTGTACAAGAACTCCAAGAATTCAGACAGAGTAACCGTGCAAATATTGCAAGGCATTTTCGTGACAAGATGTAAATCCTGCAGCAAACCGCTTATTCCTTTTACCTCTGTTGCTGAGAGTCCTGGAATCATGCAGTTTGCGGCTACTGATGAACTAAGTCGTGACTTTGCTTCACCATGCCCTGCAGAACTCGAAGCTCTGATCTTGAAGACTCGCCCGCATCGGCATTATTCCGTCGCTCGCAGAAGGGTCCTGTCGGAAGGAGCTGGTTCTAGAGAAGCCACCTCCAGGCGTTTGTGCCGCGCTGAGGTTTGAGTCCTGCTTTTCAGCACTGCTGCTATGTCGCAATAACATGCATGATCATGACTTAGAGCGTTAGAACTCGGCAGCAAGATTTCAATGCAACCTCACCACGCCTCGCACTTCATGGCCGCCGCTGCGCACTCGGCACAATCTTCACGAGTAGTCAACTCTAACCATGAGTATATCGCGTAATTAAGGGGGTGAGGGAGTGATGCGCTTGCACGAGTAACCGAGGGTGTGTTTGTGCATTTGTGTCGGTCTGTTTGGCGCAAGAATCAAGAACCTGGAAGAGCCTGGGTGACGAGAATGTGAACAAATAGTCACGCGTTTACTTTCATCTGGATTTCATCTCAATACGATGGGTGTAAGACGGTTGAATAAATTCTGAAGGCGAGCGCCAGCACACTAAGCCCATCATGCAGGAGCCTTTAAGCAGTCCCAATCGTTTCCCGTAGAACTGTAAAACCCCTAAACTGCTGAGTGGAAATCCTATTCTAATGATTTAAGCATCCCTAGTCCTGTTTCAAAGCTTGAAACTACGAGCAAAATGCCCGATGTAGTTGGGCAGTTTCAGCCACCAGTACAGCACAGTCAATTTGGGTGCCGGGCTTTAGTAGATCTTGCTTTTAAGGCTTACTTCTACGGAAACGGTGTAGCCTAGACATCCGAGCGAGCGGAAGACTCGGCAGCGGCTTCATGCGGTTATTATAATACTAAATCATAGCATATCTTCCTTAGATGGACTTTTGCTACGGATTTCATCCATCTCCGGCGCAGCCGTTTACCATTCCGGCATGTTGGTCCACGCAGTGCGCCGCAAGCTGAAGCCAACTCAGGACACACTCCATTCCGCGACTTCAGTGTTGTATTTCAGACCCTACCCCTGCCTCGCTTCCTGAGACTGAGACTGATTCCCCAGATGTAGGCTTGGAAACCACGGTCCTTTCCCCCCCAGCCCCGAGAGCCACAAAGCCGAAAAACGCAAGCAGTGGCACTGGCCATCCGATGGACAAAGATGGAGGGGGACATGGAGAACTGTCGAGAGCCCTCACAGAGGCCCATCCTGCAGTCGTGACAGTACCCATAGGCCCCATAGTAATTCCTTTTGGGGGGCTTATATTTAGAATCCTATATAAGGTATTCCTAAAAGGGAACTACTTTGGGGCCTATGGGCAATATATTAATAATAACCATCGCAACAATAGTGTTGGATCGTGTCAAAACCATGAGATTTCACAGAATTCGGGATTGCCTTTTGAGGACCCTCGTCGGCAGAGTCGTATTGCCGTGGAGAACATCACCAGACCCGCAAAGTCTGCAGTTCCCTGTAAGCCTCGATGAAACTTCATTCAGTGTCCATTGTTACAGGACGTCCTGCATCTTACATTTTCTACATGTGACTGCTCTAGGCAAGAGTCGGCTGCCAAGAAGCTGATGCATGACCACGCTAGTCGCAGGCCCCGTGCAGATCAAATCAATACGATGCGAATCGGAATTCTGCCCACGCAAGGATCCCTGCTACTGTACCTCCATCAGCTCCTGGTACTTCTCAGTTCCCTTCATCAACACCGGTTTTTGTTTTGATCTAAGTCTAGTGCTATAGTGATCTAGCACACTTGTCTTGGCAAGCACCAGGGTGCCCCACCCCAAAAACAGACCTTCGGCCTGAGAACCCCCACCCGGCCCCCGCTCCCGGCGCCACGCCCTGGGAATCAGGCGTCCCCCTACCCTCCCAGCACGCCGAGCACTTCGAATTTGCGGAGGCTGCTCAGCTTCAGCGAATGCTAGTCCTTTCGTTTGGTCACTGAGGAGAGTGTCTGTTACTCAGTCCTGATCTGTTGAGTGGTAAAGTGGTGCCTATCTTGATTACTTATGCAGCCGCGCAAATTGCGGCATTGTCCGAATGTGTCCTTCGGGCTTGGTATACGTTTTGGTGCAATTGTGCCTGCATCTGTGATGTCTGGATGCTCGTACAGAGCTGGGCTTCCTTGGTCCTTGAGCTTGCGACTGTGGGGTGTCACTCAGGCCATTAGCCGCCCCATAATTTTAACCGGAACCTACCTCGCCCCAGAGCCTTCTGCTCTAGCATGCCATGCTGCGAACACGACAGCCCGCAGTTGATGTGGAGGTTTGAGCGAGCTGCTGGTTTCCAAAAATTTTCTGAGTGTTGCTTTGTCGAACGAGGGGCGACTTGATAGAGACTCCGCGAAGAGAGCTGATATCCGGGTGTTCTTGGGACATGAGGTCTTGTGCTTGCCTCTCTGCCCCTTGGGTTGAATATGGACGACTAGGGGCCCTGATAGGCGCAGGTGAATTTTTGCGTAGGAACCTGACAGGTGCGAAAACTGAGCATCCAGACCCAAACCTCCAACGATGTGGTGCCTGCTGGATGTTCACCAGAATGCCCTTGAGACTGCACCCTGTTTCCCCAGGAATGCTCGTCCTCGCCGCATCTTGCAACGCACCTATGCTGCAGCGAAGAGTCTTTCGCATTGTCTGTCGTGTTCGGGTAAGTGCACACTCCATGATCTCACAGCGGGGCGGGAAAGCTGAAGCAGCATTTCGGTGTTACAATTGTTGTAAATGCCTGCGGCACCCCGATGATGATGATGGTGATGATGATGATGATGACGACAGCATGTCAATCTGTTGCTCTTGCATCCGTCGTTGTTAGAGAACTACTGTGAAAAACAGAGTTCTGGCAGCTCGGACTCAATATCCTTGAAACCGGATTGCCAAGGTCATGACACATCTATCGGCAGCAGATGATGCCTGGTGCTCGCCACTTGTTGCACTTGCTGCTCGAGGGAATGGTTGTTCTGAGAGGGCTCGGGTTCAATACCTGGCGAATTTTCTAAACAAGAGACCGAGCAAAATGACGAAGCGTTCTGCCTTTGAGAGGGTAGAAGGCGTCGATGATCCATGTCACCCTGAGATTTTTCAAGACTGGATGACGCCTGTGACTCAAGTTATCCATTTGGAATGTCTCGTTGGGTGCCGCTGAAATGATATTGGTGTGGTTAGCCGCAGAGCGTAGCTTTTCACAGTATATGTTTTCGGGCTACAGGAGATTCGCCGATTCTGAAGTAATGCGGATCCTCTTATTCCGATCTCTCACGAGGGCTGTTCTCCTTTCAGAAAGCTTTTTCTATGCCTCTGCTGCAGCGTACTGGTAGCCAGGATGCTGTCAAGTCCGGAAATCTAGCATACCCTAAGGCCCCATAGTAGTGCCTTTTGGGGATTACCTTATAGGATTCCAAATATGAACCCCAAAAAGCAACTACTTCGGGGCCTTTGGGTAAAGACATGATACTGACGGCTTTGAGTGTTGCAGGACTTTTTCACACCAGATGTAGCCCCTTTGCCCGGACCTGTGCGAGCCAAGAGGCTGTCCCCACTGCGCGGGGCGAAGCTCCGACGTCGCTGCTCCAGCCGCCATGAGGCAGCCAGAGCCTCCAAAACCCCTTAATTAGGAAATATATACCTTAAATAATATTAGGGATCCTATTATACTTCAAAGTATATTCCTCAATTAGGGGGTTTTGGAGGCTTTGGGCAGCGAGCCGGTGAGCGCTCTTTCATCAGTGCCGTGTCACCTGAAACGGAGGTTGCTCTAATTACACGGGGCAGCATTTGGTAAGCTTTGCAGTGTATGCGAATCTTGTGGTTATAGGATCCCAAACTGCAACCCAGATTCCAGCGAGCGTTCAAATCGTGAGAGGTCCCAGCTCCCATCTTTCTCCCGCCACTGACTGCCGAGCCGTCTGCACCGGCCCCGCCACAACCAGGCGCCTCAACTCATTGGGAGATGGTTTGGGGCCGTGATGGCAGTGGCTCTCGCAGCGACTCAATTGGGCTTTTTTGCTGCTATCGCTGCTGCTTCTACTTCACTCATTGCTGCTATCCCCTGCTGCCGCTACTGCTAGACTGCTTTCGTTATCCACCACCACCACCCGCCGCCACCACCACGGCTTCCTATCACAGCCTCAATCCTTTACAGCCAAGTGTGGCGTACCCATAGTTTGGTCCGCGTTTTCTTCGGACTTGATGAGCATTCCTCGATAGCTGTCGTGTCGCAGGAGCGTGAGTTTGACAGGTGATAGGGGCGGCAGGAGCAGCAGCGCAATCCCCGCAATCATTGTCGTCTGAGCAGCAAGACTAGTGGTTTAAGGAAAACAACCCATAGGCCCATAGTAGTTCCTTTGGGGGATTACCTTATAGGCTTCTAAATATGAACCCCAAAAAGGAGCTACGTTGAGGCCTTAGGGTAGGGGTGCAGCCAGGGCAAGGCTTGCATGTTCGGCTGGACTCTGCAGTTGTTGAAGTGGCATTAATATAGGGGCCTAAATAATTACCAAAACTATTTTGGGGGTTCCTTATTTTAATTATGGTGAATGGGCCCCAAAACCCTATTCTGTTCTTGGCCCTTATATTATGCAGGCACGCTCCCATGTTTTCCTCTTCCACTGCACCGCGCGGCCCTACCGGGCTCACGCCGGATGCTGATCCTGGGCTCGGAATTCAAAACTTCTTGTTTCAAGCATGCACGCACTGTTAGCCTGGCAATGTCTAGCAGCTGGTCTCTGCCACGCAGGAAGTAGCCCCTTCTCTTTCCAGGTCGTGCAGGTTTTTGAGTGGGGCTCATTTGGCGCATTGCACGGCTACTCGCTTCAAAAACCCGAAAGCCCAAGAGTGCGGAAGCCGAGGAATGTTATGGAGCGGCGTGTCTTGACGAATCTCAGATGCTCTCCTGTGGATTTGGGTTCAAACACATTTACGGGTTCTGAGGGGGCAATTATCAACTGTAGGCGGAGTTCGTGACAAACCCCGAAGCAACTTTCTGGGCAACACTGCGGGGCCAAGATCCCTTGCAGCTGAACCCAAAGGGTCCTATATACCGATATAGTAGAATGTAGGGTTTCCATATTAGGACGACTTAGGGGAGTATCCCCCATCACCCATACAGCAGTACATGGGACCCTTTGGGGAAGGTTACACGTCAATGTACGAAGATCTTCTCACCACCGGCCAACGGCGTCTCTTGGAATGCACCCATCAGCGAGTCTTCAATCCCCTAGGGCAGAGGTTTCACGCAAGCTTAAGCCTGATTCCAAGCTTGGGCAATGGCAGTATGCGGTCGTTGGGCACATCTCAGAACATGGATGACGTTGCCTGGGCTTCTCTCGGATTTTGAAACGCTTCTGGGGGTTTTGAACAAAACATGCCCTTTGCACATCATCTCAGCATGCGCGGAGCCCGGAGTGTTGCCGTGAGCTCTGTTGGATTTTGTCCAAGTGCCTCCGGGCTTCAGAACTGCCTATGCAGGTCTCGCCATATGCCAGAAGCAATTTCTCTGCATGCCATTCCGCCACTCTACAGTGACAAACTGCCTGGTTCACGGAAAGATGCCTCAACATTTCCTGAAGGTTCGCAATCCCTGAGAAGTAGAATGCTGTATGCTTACTGCGCCCTTCACACTTCCCAGTCTCGTCATCCCGACATCCCGAGCCCAAGCCCCAGAAAAGACCATACAACGAACTCGATGCCGGTGGAGCGTGAGTGGACGTAATATAGGGGCCAAAACAATTGCCTATACTATTTAGGGGGGGTGTCTTATTATAACTATAGTAACTATAGTATAATGGGCCCCAAAACCCTATTCTAATTATTCAGGCCCCTGTAGTAAGCGTCCGAGGCTTCGTTGTGCCCCGGCTCCTCCAGACATCTCAAGGACGGCTGCGACAGGTAGGGTGCAGGGCCCAAGCCAAGTGTGAGATTGCTTTAGCTACTGGTTTCTTGGAGTGTCGCCGACCGATCATTATGAACTGCAGCATATATCAGCGATTGAAGGAGTGCCCTCAAGCTGCTTTATCACCCCACCCAGCCTTTCCGTGACACGGCGATTCGACACAGTCTCTTCTCCAACGCCTGGAAAGACGATCTATACTTGACAAAGCTTTAGCAGCACAACTGACAAAGAAGCGGACGCTAGCTGAGCAGTGTCATCCCTCATCACTGCTGGACACGTAGACATAGCCTCAGTTATGCCTGAGACAGCTTTCTCGAAAGCACGTGCGGGCTTCCAAGTTACTGAGTTCTTGTTTAGGGATTCAATCTAGTTACCATAGTTAGTGAAGAAACAATAATATTAACTATAGGTCCCTATTGTGGTAGCTTAGACAAGACCCTTGTTAGGGAGCCTGCGTGAGTGCTGAAGGAGCGTGTCTGGCAGAAGCAGCCGTGGTCTTCGTGATTACGGACCTGTGCTTGCATAGTGGTGACGTGCGTTCATATGCTCTTCCTGTATCCGCTTAATCGTGTGGAAGGCATTCTCTCTTGAAAATGCAGTTGCATAGTACGACACTCATGGGGTCTACCCATCGCCCAAACTCAGTAGTCCTGGGCGATGGTCCAACATGTCAAACATATCGAGCCCAAGCAAAACGATATAGAACGCCAAAATTCAAGGACATGCCAGGCAGGATCATGCCATCGCCTGCGGCTTCTGCCACGCGTCTGAAACACACTTTTCCATGCTTTATGAAAGGCTCAAATTGCAAAAGGCTCCTGAACCGACTTCGTCGATGATGGCCTCTGCAGGACCTGCTGGAGGCTCCCAGCAATTCCCGATTCCGCTACACTGTGCAGCACTCTGCCGCTGGGCTTCGACAGTGGCGGAGATCGTCGTTTTCCTTGGTTCGGGGCACCTGTTGGCGATTGTTGGCGTCAACTTCAGAAGGCAGCCTGTGGGCTCCCCAAGCAACCTGTCAGCAGATACGCCGGGGCGCCAGCACTTTGTCCTACCGGCGCCTGAGCCTGTGGCGTACAATGGTCCCCAAAACCCTATTGTAATTATCAAGGCCCATACATTAACCCTTAAGCCAGGCGCCGCGACGAAGGCACGACGGCAACAGTAACACGTAACATCATAGCCAGGTCCAAAACAGCAACTCATTAATCTTAGCCCTCGTCACTTGATCCAAAAGAATCCCACTAACATAGAAGTCCAAACAGTACCTTAGATTACTATTCCTTGGTTCCTTATTGTGCTTATAGTATATATAATGTACCCAAATCCCCATTCTGAGCACGAGGGGCCGTATATCCACGCATTCCAAACTCAGCCGCCCAGGTCCAGAAGCCTGTGCGAATCACAAGGGCGCCAGGGCTGCAAGTAGGGCTACTAAGCAAGGATTTAGGGTTTAGGGTTTAGGGTTTAGGGATTCTTTGACTGAGAGGGCCTTCAAGGGTTACGGCGGCTAGGGGTTTGCTGCTAGGGCTGCTTGCTCCAACTCCGGGCGAAGTGGAAAGCATGTTGCAAAAAGGGGTGGTAGACCGGGGTGCTGGACAACGAGGCCTGTTGCAAAAAGGGGTTTAGGGGTTAGTTTTTTGCTTGAGTTTGGTAGGGCTTTATTGGTTTAGGGTCATGTGTTTTTGCTTGTGGGTTCAGGGTCTAGGGTTTACCCTAAACCCTAAACCGTGGTGGAATAGTTTCAGATATTTGGGGCCTCTCGGCACGTAGGCTTCGGGAGCTCGCAGTTCTCCACAGGTCTAAAGCCGACACCCGAGGGCCCCACAGTGTACCAGGAACCTTAGACTGATCATAAACCTGCACTCCACCTGTTCAGAGCAGCTCGCCGAATTAGTGGTTCGGGCTCCCGGCTCGGAGTGAATCATCGGGGAATCTGTGTGTTTCTTAATGTTTGAGACTGGTTTCTATCACTGACGGCTTTGCCGTGCTCGGGTTCTGGACGGATGGCTTATGGATTCACTGTGATTGGGTTGAGCTCTTCAGGGTTGCATGCGCATCCGAGCTCCAGCCTGGCATGTGGCATCGCTGCTATCACCCTCTTCTCTCTGTACTGCAAGATGCACACCACGAAGCCTTACGTAACCGGACACATCTGGAGCGCTGGGGAAACAGAAATCCCAACCGCAGGTGCTCAATCCCGGAGCCTTCGCAAAGAAGAACACGTACCTGCGCGTTGAATATGCAAAGATTCGCGACCACGATGCAGAGAGGGACCCGGCATCGGCGGTTGGAGTTCGGATCTCAAGGGTTATTCGTCGACCAGTGATTTCCTGCAGCTGCCTGGGGCACCAGAACCAAGACCCTCTTCAAAGTCGTAGTGTACTCCACTCTGGGACACAGTACGCATGCTTCATGCGTTCATGCGGTAATAAGTTACGACAGGACAAATCTCAGACGAAGCAGCCATGCAGCTTTTAACTACCCTCATTTCCCGAGAGCTTTAGTGCACTGAACCGAAGACGCTGTGCTTGGAGGACTACTGGCAAGAGGAGCGCGCCCTTTTCCGGGAGTTGCACGAAGTTGCAGCTCTTCGCGAGGCTTTTGCGTCAGGGAGCTGGATATGCGAGGAACTACACATTAGAACAGTAGTTCGGGATTTAGGATCAGGGATGTTCAGCGAAAATATCTGCAAGGACTACGAAGTGCAATCAAGGTACAGACAATCCTACGACGTTGCGGCTCAGGGTTGTGTCAGCGTCGGGCTTAACCCTAAACCCTAAACCCTTGTCCGAGTTGCGAGAGCGTAAACCCTAAACCCTAGGTTTTCGGGTGTTTAAGGCGAGGTGAACGAGCTGCGTGGCATGAGAACAAGTTTCGTAGTAATTTCGAGCAGGAGTTAGCGATGGTACTTAGTCATGGTTTTAAATGTTAACATGTCAAAACAGTCAGATGAGTAATCAGTAAGAAGACTCTGTTCTACAATAACACCGCTGACATGTGGCTTTCAATTGTTTCGTTAGTGACCACGGATGGACGAACATGCTTCGTGCATGTAATTGCTCTTTGGTACGCAATGCATACACGCAGGTATGCATTGTGCTATGTTGGCATAAATGCATGTAACTCTACTGACTCTAGTTCATGTATGCATGCATGTTGGCAGTTGAGTGTGTAGTGCATGAAGGCAGTGAGAGGCAGATCGTTAAGTCTGCAAATGAACCCAATGCAGTTTCTCCTGCATTGCTTGGAGTGTCTATGTTCAGGAACTACCCGACACTACCTACTGTTATCTATGATGCTTTATGTTTCTGACTTTAAGTATACGTACTGACCTACAAGGAAGCCTCACTCAGAATTTCTCGAATGTAAGGATTTCTTCGGTCCGGTATATAATGGTCAGATTGAAAGCTACGAGTAGAACGGTTGAAGCGCCTTCATAATTTGGTCTTGCTTTCGGCTCAAGCAGCCAGCAGCCTCACGGTCAAAGTCGTTGTTGCCCGCAGACACTACGTACATTTGAGGGTTTAGCCTGTTAAAGTGTTAATGTTGGGGCATGTCAATGAATGCGGCAGCCCGGTTAGATGCAAGGGAGGGTGCATTCGGCAAACACCATTAATTCCTACACTAAGTGGAGAAGTGAAGCAACTCATTACTCCTACCTGCTACTGCTTCTACGTTCTCATAGAGGCAGGAACGGTACCTTTCGTGCTTGTCCCTGCCGCGCGTCGACTAGAACAGGTCTCTCGGTATCGGACATTGTGGTTTTGAGGTGCAGCTTTAAGGTGGTCAAGGTCCAGACTGCCCGTAGCGTAGCGACCTTCAAGGAACTTTTCCGAAGACGTTTAAACTCAGGGACTAAGCAGATCTGTGAAGCCAGTCAACAGATGCTCTGCACTCCACTTCTTTCCAGGGCCCTACGTGGTTGTTGCACAGCCCGTCTTCGGGCATGCACGGGGTGTTCGGAGGAGCCTCAAGGTCAGGGTTTCAAAATGGTTACAAGGAACGCTTCCCGGCACCATCCATGTTAGGAAGTCTGACTACGCTTTGCATGCTTGCAAGGTTAAGGTGGCGATGGCGAGGGAGCTATCAATCCAGCTGCAATCCAGAATCCGGGCATGCGCGTGGCTGGGTTAACGATGTGAAATTATGTGATGTGGACTTAAGTTTCCAAGAACACCAAGTCCCGAGAAATGTCACGCAGCACCCAAAGTGCTAGGATTCCTGGCTCAGCTGGTTTCTTCGAGGTGTTGTGAGTGCTTTCGGGGAAGCGTAGACAGCTCGACGATAACGACATGACTTTCGGAGGGAAGCAGCTTGCTGAGCAGTTATAGCAAATGATAGTGCACTGCACTTAGCCGCATGAAGAAAAGGGGTGCATGCTTCGGGGACATGTGTGGGCAAGCGTTGCAAACCAGGCTGGCTGTCATTGCGATTAGCTTCGTGACCATGATCTTTCTGATCGTGGTTCTTGGGTTCACACCCGTGGAGAACCGTCATGGCTATTCAGCCCTGCTCGTGATTCCGTTGGCCTGTATGCTGATGGTTGGGGCTATCTCTCTCCTCTTCGACCGCCCTTCGCATCCTGTTGCAGAAAGAAGAGCTGCCACTGTCGATAAGAAGAGCTGTGATTGCATTTGGGCTTCCAATGTTTTCGAGGAGTTGGAGTTTGGGGTTGTGGACTCGCACAGCCTTAGCTTTCGTTCCTTCCATGTGGAGAAGGGTACAGACGGTGCCGAGTGGCAACAAACTGGGCCCGCACCGGTCAAGAGCGATGCTTGTCTCTTCAAGCCCACCTGCGCATGTTGTTTGGATGATTTTCAGCCCCGCAGCCAAGTTGCGATCCTTCCCTGTGGGCACGTTTTCCATGAGGACTGCATTGCACGCTGGTCCTTGGCTACTTCTAAGTCAGCCAACTCATGCCCCACGTGTCGCACCAGTTTTGAACGCTTAGCCGACCCCTAGTGCAATTGTGCCTGGGCCGTCAGAAGTCTCTGTTTCGGCTGGGTTCGCTGGTGTGCTCGAGCTATGGGTTGGAATCCTCAGCAACAAGCCCACCACTACTGCTGCTGAGACTATTGGTACTACTACTGCTACTGCTGCTATTGCTATTGCCTCTACTACTTTTATGGGAAATTACTACTATTACTACTGCTACGCTGCTGCTGCTACTACTACTGCGACTGCTATTGCTACGGCTACGACTACTGCTACTGCTACTGCTACCGCTACTGCCACTGCTACTGCTGCTCCTGCTGCTGCTACTGCTACTGCTACTGCTACTGCTACTGCTACTGCTACTGCCTACTCGCTACTCGCTACTCGCTACTCGCTACTCGCTACTTGCTACTTGCTACTTGCTACTTGCTACTTGCTACTTGCTACTTGCTACTTGCTACTTGCTACTTGCTACTTGCTACTTGCTACTGCTACTGCTACTGCTACTGCTACTGCTACTGCTAACTGCTGCTCCTATCCTACTTCTACTCGTACTCCCACTCCTACTCCTCCACCACCACGACCACCACCACCACCACCACCACCACCACCACCACTACTAGTACGACTGCTACGACGACGGCGACGAAAGCAGCTACCAGCAGCGTCAGATTGCACGAAGCGAAATAATGGCAATCGGAATCGCACACGGTTTGGATGTGACTTACTATTGGTTACCACAGCTATAGTATAGTGGGACCCAAAAACCATGTTCTGATTATTATGGTCCCTACATTACGTCTATTTCAGCATCTGGGCAGCTGCAAGGATTCAACCCAGCACCTCTGACAATTTTGTGTTCTCCAGCCCTTGTCGAGACCAGCTGCTGGCTACTAAAGAGGTTGGCCATAAAGTTCAGTGCCCTGTTTCAGAATTCCTTGGTTGTGTGATGCCCACGCCCTTCGGACTTGTCTCCATCTTGGCCGAAGACGTCAGGACCTCAACTTGTCCTTCAACCCCCAACCTCGATTTCGTGCGAGCATGACTTCTAAAGTCATCTCCGGGCCTATAGACCTGCAGAGTCTAGTTCGAGAACTTGCCGATGCTGGCCGCGATAGGGCAGGTTCCTTGGAGACGTCATCACAGACACGGGAATTGCTTGGTTCTTATTTGTGGAATGCCCGTGTCACCTTGTCAACCTGTTGGCTGGCAAGATGTTTGGTAGATGTTCTAGTTGTGTCCATGGCTCCCTCAGCTTCACGATTTCAAGTGCAACCCCTGCCCTTCAGATCGACCCATAGGCGATTGCAACAGACTCGGCTTCTAACGTCAGCTACAACAAGGTATGCTGCAAGACCCCAGCGCTTCAAAACATGCGCGCTTGCCTGGCTGCGTGGGATGGCGATTTACTTCTTACAGCCAAAGGTTGACAGCTAACTTGCTCGTGGAGCCTGTTCCGGAAGCCGGAAGTGTAGGCTGTCAGTTCAACGCAGCATATCTTTTTAAGGTGGTCGGTTCCCTGGCATCATGACGACTGGCTTCTGTTGCTTGAGCACCCATGCCCGCCGAAGCGTTGGAATATATCAACTAGCAGGCTGAACAATTCAAGCACATATATGTTTGACAATAGGTTTTCGGACCTTTAGAGAATTTCGAGCCATGTGTGCTTGTGGTGCACACGGCACATGTAGCGATTGATCGCAACTCTTCGATTGCATCACTGATGCGAACCACTGTTGTTTTAGTTTTTTGCCGTTGTGCTTCTGAGGATTTGAAGGGCTCCTTTACGCATCCTGCAACTGGAAAATCTACGTGTAGAGAAATGCTCTTGCAGTCAAGGTTGGCTGGTCTCTGTGTAATGCAGATGACATTCGGATATAGGGGGCCGCGACAAGGTCTTTGCCTTTGAAATGCAGAAGCCGCATGCCAAGTCATGATGTCAGCAAGGCTTGCACTGTATTTCGAGCTTGCGCGAGTTGCATTGCCAGACAGCGAGCTTTCTGAGGTTTCTCTACTAATGCAAACACTGAACTTGTGGCTCCTAGTTTAGCTACGGATTTTCCCAGGCCTATGCCAGGATCAAAGCATACAGATAGCGGCGACTCCCAATTATCGAAGCCTGCATAGGAAGACCAACATTGTTGTCAGCATGCCTCATTCTGCAGAAATTCTCCTCAGGTGTTTCAAAGCAGTGCTGGGGGGAAGAAGAGAAGTGTAATCTCACTCAAACGATTTTTAGTTTAATGCGTATGTTGCCTGCAAGTCACCGGTCCGTGATCCATGATCAGGACCTGCAGCGTATCAGGCCGTCAGCCTTCTCTAAGCAAGTTCCCGAAAGCTCGTTGCTCACTGCTGTTCATCCAGCGTCGTTTTTGCTTCGTGTGAACATGCATGTTCCGGGAGGTATCCAGTGTTCCGGAATGCAAGGGACGATCCGTGATCCCCAGATCCATATCTATAGATCGAAAGCCGAAAGCCGTGGCAGAGCAGGAGAGGCTACCATGCGGTTGGCGAGACACACCGTGCCTTCGAATGTCATCGTCCCATACTTAGCCTCGGCTTCAAGAATGTAGTTACAAGCCGGTCAGGGGAGATGCATTTGCCTACAGCCTACCATGCGCAGCACCCGGTGCACCACGCAGGTCCATCCATCCCTATGAAG